CTGGCTTAGCCTTCGCCACGGCTCGGTTTGCGATGCGGCATCCTTTTTCCAGACGGTCGTTGTCTGCTGCTCCTTGTCCGCGCTCTGAATGCTCAGTGCGCATTTCGAGCAGAGGACTACGCCCTCCATGCCCTCCTGCATGTCGCTTCTACCCGCTTCGGCCGCCTGGTTAGAATCCTGTATGTCCGAATGCAGCTTCTTTATACGTACAAACAGGCTTCTGGTCGCCTCATTGATGTGGCGCGTGCTCTTGTCCAGCATCCTGGATGTGATCTCCTCCAGGAGTCTACCCAGCTCCGCTAGGTTCTGCTGACCGTTAGCTTCCTGCGATGCCTTGCTCTTCTTTGGCGGTGTCAGTCTCTGCGAGCTCGCCGGGCTTGCGGGGTCCCTAACCCTTTTGGGGGTCTCTTTGGGGTCAACCTCACAACCCTGAACGGCTCCTGGCGTTGCCTGGAGTACCGGCGATCGGATGAGATTGCTCCTCATTACGACCACCGAAGCATCGGCTTTCCTCCCTTCTTCCGGCAGTTGGCGCGGCGATCTTGCCAGCGCCGATCTGCCCACGAACGGGTTTCCCGTGTCCATATCTCGTTTATGCTCTACTTAGCTACGCGGTCCGCACTTGTGGGCTCCCTCGCTGGCCTCGGATTTCCCCTTGGCTTCTCGATGGGGGATATACCGCCCCTTCCCCGGTCCCCGACGTCCCGTTGACCGGGACACCGCCTGAGCGGGGGATCGGAGTGTGGTCGGATCCGTGACCTTTTCCCACTGCCCCTCGTGCAGACTATCCAGGCCTAGAAATTTGGCCTGGAAATTTGTAGCTTTTGCGCCACCTTATCCCCTTTGCGGTCTTGCAGTTACCTGCTACGTGACAGCTGCCGGCGGTGGGGTATCGATATATCGATATATCGGTATGCGCAAGCTCGCTTGCGCTCCCCACCACTAATTAGCGATCAGCTGCTCGCAACAAGCAAAGAAGATTGCGAAAATGGGAAAAATTGTTTTTGCCTTCCCAAAGAAGAGAGCGCGAAAAACCCGTGGCCTCCTCGCCTCTCCTCCCCTCCTCTGTGTATGGAGCGGCGCCCAGCGACTGGATTCCGCGCCGGGAGACTCACCCTGAACGCGTGTGTCGGTCTGGCTCGGTACGTACCCCTTCCTGTCGGGCACCTTCTCACTTTTACCTTTTTCCAGGCAGTTTCACGCACATATATAAGCATTTGTGTGTGTGTTTGTATGTATGTGATTCTGTAGAGGCAACAAATAAAAGATTGCATGTGCCCCACAATGCAGACACAAACAGATTCACAGACATTGCATTGAGTCGCGTCGCCAAATGAATAGACAAATATGTATACACACACGCAGACATATGCGAGAGTGCCTGTGTGTTGGTGGAGCTCTATGCAAACACAGATACACACACTGACACACACTGACACACACACACACACACATAGTCATAGACCAAATGCAGCGCCAACGTTGGTGGAGGCAAAGGCAAAGCGCGCCAACAAAATGCGAAAACTGGGACAAAGTTGAACAGACGAGCCAAGGACGGATATTAGTGCGACGCGGCGCGGTGCGGCTCGGTGCGGCGCGAGCAGTTGCATGATGAAGCGACGACTGCTGCAGCAGTCAGCAGAGACGCCCGCAGAGAGGAGGCGAAGTTGGCAGCGAAAAAGTGGAAAACAAAATGAATGTTTTCTGCTGCTCCGGCAGTTGCTGTTGGTTTGGTCCAACAGCATATACAGTGGGCGCTCAATGGGATTGAGAGTAGCCAAAAAGGATTTAAAATTGATTAAGAGCAAAACAGACTATGAAGAGGAGATATGTAAAATAATATTGTATATTGGAATGAACTGATTATCTTATAGGTTACCCTTGAAGTTGAATGCAGCAACCTGTCGCGTACTGATTATTAATCCTTAATTAATTTATCAAACAATTTCAAAGTAACTTTCGATTGTGCCCATTTCTTTGTCTTATCGAGTGGGCACTGTACTTTTCGCCAGTACAGTTTTAGTTCTACTGAAAATATTGTTGTTTGTTGATTACAATTTGCATGACGCCAGCGGCGGCACAGCCACCAGGGCGGATAGATGCACTTTATCTCCCTCTCTCGTTTAGGTTTTCCTTCTTTTTCTATTCCAGTAGCAAAATGCATTAGATGTGTTGTTGTTTTTGTACATTTTGCAGACATTTCAGTCAAAAAAAAAGCAAATTTTAATTATTGGTGGGAAAACGAGTTTGCCTGGTTTCCATCACCCAGCAACAACGACAATGAATGGATTTTCTTTTAGAATTCTTTTTTTCCACACAGATTTCGCAGATTAGTACAAGTGTGTTTCTAAACGGGGAGTTCGTGTTTCTGTATGTCTCTGGGGGTCTCTGGGGGTCTGGCTCAACTTGAAAATTCTTGTTTTGGGCAAATCGCAAGCTGCTGAAAAACGGCAATCGGCCAGTGGCGGCACAGCGCCGATGCTGAGTTCTTTTTGGCTAATGCCTTAGTCAAAACACTTAAATACCATAAATAATTGGCCGTTTAAGTGCACTCGTTACTGTTGCCGTTGTTGCGCAAAAATCTAAACAGAAAAGCTGAAAAGCAGAGCCAAAGGAGTCGGCTTACACGCTCTGTGTGTGCTCTGTGTGCGGCTTTTGAGGTTGTCAAGGCATTTTTTCGGTTTGTGTTATTCGCGAGTCGAGTTTCATTTGTGCTGCTGAATAGGTGGTGCATTTGAAGCGTACATTGCAAATATGTACATGAATAATGCCTTAGGCCTACTTTTTATGCTGTCGAGGCGCTGGGTCAAACTAACAAATAAATATGCATTAAACCATGCAAATTCCGTTTCCATCGTATTTAGACTTAAAATAAGAGGAAATGTATTGTATTTAGGCGAATATATGGTATGGTTGGTGTGTGCGTAAATACATAATGAATACGTTGAGATATTATGAGCTTATCCTGTGGGATTGATTGCATCATCTTTCATAAGCTGTACTTCTCGGAGATAAATTTGCTTTAGAATCGTAGCATTTTCCATTTATAATCCGGATTGTTTTCATGGCAAGTTGGCATCGCTTGGGATCTCAAACGCATTATTAAATGGTGAACTTTAAATTACAGCTGTCGATCGATAGCTTATAAACAATAAATATCTTCTGACTTACCCAATTTGAAGCGACCAAACCCAGTGCATTCGCATTGAATCTGAAATATACAAATTAATCATTGACTGTAAGTTAAAGGAACATTTACAAAGAGCATTTCTCGCAATGCTGTGACTCATGCGGCAGAGAAAATCATACATTTCTCCCACTCACTGGTCATTTGTCAATTGTTTTCTCATCCCGACATCCTCACGTGAGGCGTATACGTGATGTTTTATAAAAAAAATATACCCAGTAAATTTCGTATACGTCATGTAGGCATAAAAAGCTGACTAATTGTGGCCAGAAACCCATAAAGGTATACGCTAATAATTTACTGTTGGGCCGCTCAATAAATCTGAAAGAAATGATCAAATTACTATGCATCGACACGAAGAGTGGGGTAGAGGAGCAGTGCAGGGAAGGAGGGGACGGTTGCTGGGGTGAGGGGAGAAAAGAATTACATAATTTGGTGAAAATGCTCAGCGTTTCGTTTAATCGACCAAAAATGGCAAAATTCTTCCGCTGCTGTGGCTGCTTCTTCGATGGTTCTCGTTGGGTCAATAAACTTTCGGGCCCAGTCAAAAATTTGTATATGAGAAATTCTTTTGTTGGCAACAAAAGAAAGAGCGCGTCACGTACAGCTGTGTGGAACAGGGACGGCAACAGGGAAAGACAGAGAAAGAGAGAGAGAGAGTGTGAAATGTAAACATTACAGAAATGCCAGGCCATCTCAGCATCTCCCATTCCCACCCGTATCATGATGATGATGAGTGTGGCCAAAAAAAGAAGTGAGCGCAAGTGACGTCCGAGGAACCGTTAGCATTCATAGCTGTGTGATGGGCCAGGGGGTCGGGCTGCCTGAGCTTCTAATAATGATTAAATTATGTATTAGAATGCGGCTCCGAATGGGTGAATGAAATCGGACTTGGCGAAACTCTAACGGCATTCTACAAATATGCAAACACAAAATAATAAGGCAGAAAGAAAGCGACAAATTACGTAGCCAGCTAGCCAGCCAGCATGCTAATGCCCCTCTCCCTCTTTCTCTCTCTCGCGCTCTATCTCTAACGGCACTTCGTACAGCCGGCGAAAAGCCACGCTCCACACTACCACTACCACTTCCCGTTCCTCCGTCATCTTCTGCCACTTCTCTACCGTGAGAGGTGCTACGTGTGTGTTTGTGTGTGTTTCACTTGTGAAAGCTGAAAACGGGTTTTCTATTAGCATTACTTGGCGGCAAAAGAATGAAGCACGACGACAACCAACACAGCAAGAGAGAGCCAGATCCGCTCTTTCGGTGGCAGTAACAGTTGCTGTAGCGGCAGTCGGAGCCCCAACAGCATTCTGACGCGCTCTCTTGGCTCTCTTACGTGGGGCTCTCCCGCTCCGGCACAAGGCAGTCGTTTGGTGCATTGACCCCACATCGCGCTGACCCACTTACGAAGCTGCTTTTGCGAATGCGAATTGCCGAGGCGAGCTCGCTCGTGCCGCTACCTCGCGAACAACTTGTGCAATAGCAACCTCAGCAGCAGCAGCAGCAGCAGAGACAGCAGCGACAGCAGCGGCAGTTCTCTGCTTTGACCGACTGCTGCGCACAGTGGTTCGTGCTAGCGAATTGATTTGATGTTTGATGGAAAGGCAAAGGCTTTATTAAAAGGAAAGAAGAATTTTGGGTAAATTATATGCCAATGAAATGCAAAAGTTGTATATTATCAGGAGTGCAATAATTTAGAGCGTTATGCATTATTATTTGGTTGATAAGATGAAATTTTAATCGGTTATACCGCCTAGTACCGTTAAGTTCCACTGTGGCGTAGGTATTATGTGCATTTTTTATAGCACTGCTATAGTTTCTGGCGTTGTTATTGTTATTTTATTTGACTTTGCGTTCGCCGCAGTGCCAAAAACTGCAATTCATATGCAGCGGCTCCCCCTCTCTTACTCTCTCTCTCTCTCTCCTTCCCACTGTGTCTCTTCACACATGTCGCTGCATATTAATTTTCGTATTCATTTGTATGGGTCCCTCTGCACATTTTTTACTTCGTTTCTTTGCTGCTGCTTGTTTTTTCGGTGCATGCATTTGCAAATAAAAGAAGAACATATTAATTTTGACTTCTGGTTATTGCTGCACCCAGCAGAAGCAGCGGTGAAAGCCCCGGGGGCAATGCAAATGCATTTCATATGCAAAATATTTCAGCCTTTTCCCGTTTCCCCAAGTGTGACTCTATATGTGTGTGTGTGTGTGTCTGTTGCTGGCATTTTCCCCATTCAGAATTTATTTTATTAAGCGCTTTTTGGGCAGCGTTTAAATTTGTTTTGCTGCGAGCAGGAGCCTGTGGAGGTGCCTGGGCGAAGTGTTAATGGTGGCGCTGCCTGGGCGAAGCAAACTTGTTGGTTGATCAACAGCAAATTGCAGGTTTTCCTCTGTCACCCCGCTTCTTTCTCCTCTGCAACAGCTAGTGGCAGGCACTTGATTAACGATAACTTGTTTTCCTTCTGCATCATGCGTGTGCCACAAGTGCTGGGATGATTCAATATTACCTAATACATTGCTGAATGGATGCGAATCCACTTTGATCTGGATTGTGTTATTGGAGTGTTAATAATGTAAAATAAATCAAAGCTCAAAAACGTTTTCTCCCAATTATTTGCCATTTAGTTAATTTAAATTGTTGAAAACCATCCCAATTTAATTCGGCTTCTTTTTTGGTTTCTACCTTCTTTCGACTAAACAAACAATTTCACCCAATATTTGCGTTCATTTCGAGTAAAGTATGTCATACATTTGTTTTCTTGCCGACTTGTATTTACAGTTCAGAAATGGCAAATAAAACAATAAAATGTATATCATGACACACTTTTTCGAAGCCGTATTAAACAAATACACACATTTTTATGCACATATTTGACAGCGTTATTTGTTAACCCCAATTTTGGACAAAGTTATCATAAGCTAATACGACATTTCCTGTAAATTCGTCGAATTTCGTCACTGAAAGAACAAGCCTTCGGATTGTAATTGAGTGAAACACAACAATTAAATTAAAAGGGATGATGAATATTTATAATAAAGAACATGGCACTTACCTACACTTGGGATTTGGTAATCAATAGATCTACCACAGACCTAAAAGGAATATAAAAGATATAATTAGAAAAATATACTATTAACACTCATAAAGATATTATACTAACAGAATACATATTAACATTAAGAAGCATCAAATAATGTTCATTTGATTTGTCAATGCAGTAATTAAAATCCCTGTTTGCCCCACTGTACGAGTCTAGTTAATCTCTCTGCCACTTTTCGTTGTCGGTTCTAATGAATGTCGTTGCATTGAGGTTTTTTTTTGTTGTAAACGTAGTTAATACTTATACTTGTCGTATACATGTGTAACTGCTATCCGCTGAATTACCGATTTCATGGACTGCATACAAATGAGCTTAAGCCTCCCTGCCTGCGTGCCCCCGCCACCATAACTTGCCGTTGGGGAGGGAGCTTTGCATATTCATTGACTGAACATAGCGGTACGTGCACCACTATTTCTCTCCGCCTCTCTCCCCCATCGCTCTCTGGTGCAGTGCAGCCAGCCTACCCCTAGTCTTATCTGTCGAGGGCCGTAAACACGCACAGGCCCGTACACTTCAGCCTGAGAAGATAAAGATTTATGTTGGGCTTTTGGGAAAGCCTTACAAAGCCATTCCAATTTTACCCTCCACGAATGTTTCGTAATGCCCGAGAATCATACTATTCAACTTTAAAGCGCTTTAAGTGACTGACCCCCTCCATCCTCCACCCCTCTCGCATTTCATAGCATAGCATAGCACTGGTGACGACATACATTTTGAGCGAGTCAGCGACAATAATTAAATACTATCTGTCTGTCGTCTCTTTGTTGCATTGAGAGAGTGCTTTCGGCTCTCTTCCGTTACACACATCGTGTGCTAAGAGAGGCAGCAAAGAGAGCGTCAAAAGCTAAGAGCACTGGTTGCAAAGAGCGGAGAACTTTCTTTTCGATTCTGTTTTGGTTTTCTTTTTCTCCTCGGTCGCCGAGAATGTTTACGAGTGTGTGCATCGGCATCTGTGCATATGTGTGCGCTGTGTGATACTGCCGTGCGGGAAAGGTTCATTGACACTTGAAAAACATTCAGTCAGTCACTCACACTCTCTCACACAGCGAGACTGACAGTCGCAGGCTCGCTCTCCCGCTGTCGCTCATCATCTGTCACACATTTCTCCGATCCGATCCAAGCAGCGCAGCCAGCGCCGCGCAGCGCAGCGGCTGGCTTGGCACATTTTTCAAGCCGCATTGTGTTTTGATTATACCACGTCGCTGCTGCTGTTGCTGCTGCTGCTGCTGCAGCGTCTGTGTTTGTCTCCGTGTGGTTCATCGCGCATCGTATCTCTCCTCATCCTCGTGGGTAAATACGCAAAAGCGCCTAGATTACACAATAGCCCCACACCAGACGAGACCAAGCTGCGCTCTCTCTCTGTCACCCTCTCCATTTCTCTCCCGTTTGCTTTTAAGTGCAGCACTGTCCGACAAATGCTTGGAGTCAACTTTTGGAATATATTGAATTTCAGTTCTAATTTCCATCTACATTTAAGTAGTTACATTTGAAAACAAATAAACTCTTTAATGCAAAATGCTCGCTATGCAGTTCTGCTCTGCGCTTTGGCAGGCAATACTTTTTATGTTGGACAGTGTGCGCTGCAGCAAATTGCAGTAAATTCTCACTTTGAACCAGTTCTGCTCTGTCGCTGCGCTGCTGCTCTGCTGCTCTGCTGCTGCTGTTGATCAGGAAGTTGCATCACCGTTGAAGGGATTGCTGCACGGGGAACCCCAAACAGCTGTCGCACTATTCCTCTTCCTCTCTCTCATCCCCTGCCCCGTTCCACTGCTGCTGCGGTTCTTTTTGTCTGGGCAGACAAGTGGCTTAAGGTACATAGATACCCATTGGCATTGTGTTGCACGGATAATACATTACACTACGAGTATTGCGCAATAGTTCCCTGGGGTCGAGTCGGCATTGTCTGAACTCTGACAATGGAGAGGTGGATGGAGGGGCGTTGCCTATTGGGCATTGGTTAAGATTATGAATGGAACTACATTCTTTAGAGCATAAGGAAAACATTCAAGCGTTTTCCATCATGAAATAAGTTTATTCCTAAATGCTTAAAGCAGCAGAGCCAAGCTCCACGAACTTACATTATTCCAATGCTAAATCGATGTTCATTTCTGTCTATTTCAGCTCAAATTGAGATAATTCCATGCAAAGTGTGCGGCGATAAGTCATCGGGCGTGCACTACGGCGTAATCACCTGCGAGGGCTGCAAGGGGTTCTTCCGCCGCTCGCAGAGCTCCGTCGTGAACTATCAGTGTCCGCGCAACAAGCAATGCGTGGTGGATCGTGTTAATCGGAATCGCTGTCAATACTGTAGACTGCAAAAGTGCCTAAAGCTGGGAATGAGTCGTGATGGTGGGTGCAACTGCAATGACCAGAGCAGTGACCAGCTAATCATATTTGTTTTGTTTTGCAGCTGTAAAGTTCGGCAGAATGTCGAAAAAGCAGCGTGAGAAGGTTGAGGATGAGGTGCGATTCCATCGCGCCCAGATGCGAGCCCAGAGCGATGCGGCACCGGACAGTTCCGTGTATGACACGCAGACGCCCTCGAGCAGCGATCAGCTGCATCACAACAGCTACAACAGGTGCAGTATGACCGATATGAGAATGATCCTCCATATTGATGTATCCGTGTGACCCGTTCGACCCAACCCAACCCAAACCAACCCAAACCAAACCCGACTCGACTCGACTCTCCCTGCTCCTGCTGCACTTTCACTTCCACTATCTTTATCTCTTCTCTGGTCTTCTCTTTCTTTTCATTCCTGCTCCCCCCGTCCTGCAATGCTCCTCTTGTCACTCAGCTACAGCGGCGGATATTCAAATAACGAGGTGGGCTACGGCAGTCCCTACGGCTACTCGGCCTCGGTGACACCCCAACAGACCATGCAGTACGACATCTCGGCGGACTATGTGGACAGCACCACCTACGAGCCGCGCAGTACAATAATCGATCCCGAATTTATTAGTCATGGTAAGTCCTTTACCACATGTGATGCTTTCGTGCTTATCAATGGTTAAACTTCTCTTCCAGCGGATGGCGATATCAATGATGTGCTGATCAAAACGCTGGCGGAGGCGCATGCCAACACAAATACCAAACTGGAAGCTGTGCACGACATGTTCCGAAAGCAGCAGGTGAGTTTCCACCAAGCCGCCCAAAAGTATGCCATGCCAAAATATAAATCCCACTCCTCAATAGGATATATCGCGCATTCTCTATTACAAGAATCTGGGCCAGGAAGAACTGTGGCTGGACTGCGCCGAAAAGCTTACGCAAATGATACAAAATATTATCGAATTTGCAAAGTTAATACCGGGATTCATGCGCCTGAGTCAGGATGATCAGGTGAGTCCAGCTACCTTTCATTTCCATGGAACGTTAAATGCTAAATGTGCGACTTTTCTACAGATATTACTGCTAAAGACGGGCTCCTTTGAGCTGGCGATTGTTCGCATGTCCAGACTGCTAGATCTCTCACAGAACGCGGTACTCTATGGCGATGTGATGCTGCCCCAGGAGGCATTCTACACATCCGACTCGGAGGAGATGCGTCTGGTGTCGCGCATTTTCCAAACGGCTAAGTCGATAGCCGAACTCAAACTGACTGAAACCGAACTGGCGCTCTATCAGAGCTTAGTCCTGCTCTGGCCAGGTAAGTTGGTTCCACACTCTTGACCCTGCCTGCCGCCATTGATCATTAATATTCATTTAAACTCTTTCCATCGACAGAGCGCAATGGAGTGCGTGGTAACACTGAAATACAGAGGCTTTTCAATCTGAGCATGAACGCAATACGGCAGGAGCTGGAAACGAATCATGCGCCGCTCAAGGGCGATGTCACCGTGCTGGACACACTGCTAAACAATATACCCAATTTCCGGTAGGAGCACCTCCCAATCTTCCCACATCGTTCACTCTTTTATAATCGAATGGTAACTTTGCAGCGACATCTCCATCCTGCACATGGAGTCGCTGAGCAAGTTCAAGCAAACACATCCGACCGTGGTATTCCCGGCGCTGTACAAGGAGCTGTTCTCAATAGATTCACAGCAGGATCTGACATAACATGAACAGCAACAGCTCATGGAGACGTCCGCGGAAGATGTTGCTGAGGATGCGGGTGCGGGTGCCACGGGGTGTGTCTTGCCACCTGTCACGCAGCAGTCGCTGCTCGAGGACTGAGCCCACAGCAGCCGCAGACACAGGACGAACGATGGGCAACAACAGCAGCAGCAGCAAATATAGAAACAGCAGCAAATACAACAACTTTATCATGATTTAAGCTAGCATACAACCAAGGATGTGATCCTCGCCAAGGACTCACTTAAAAAGAACTCTATATATATACATATATAAATATATATATATACATTATGTATGACAGAGCGAAAGAGAGATAAGAGATGAGAGAGAGACAGAGAGAGAGAGAGAACGCAAGGGAAGGGAAAATATTTCAAAAATATTGTTACTCAGTTAAGACTTGTTTGCTTCATAGAGAAACCAATTGCATTTCGAGCAAAAGGGCTTCATAGTTTTCGATTTTCGAGGTTACGCATCCAGAGTTCCAGATTATCCCACGAGTATCCCCAGGCCAAGCCCTGAACAAGTACTTAAAGATTCAATTCAAGTCCCTCATCATCTGCTCCACGCCCCAGCCCCAGCCCCAGCCCCAGCCCTCGCCCTCGCCCACGCCCACGCACACACCCGCCTAGGTTGTCTTTTTGCCTTTCGTTGTAAACTGAAGTATGTATATTATATATGCAGGAGATGTATGTATAACTATGTCTTAGCGGCTCCATGTGCACTCCGCGCGCACATGGGAACGCATTTCTTTGTAAACAACAAAAATCGAATATCTCGGAAAATGTGTTCTTACAATTATATTGATTAATGCAATTACAATATATTTACAATTTACCGTTACGTTTTTACATTTTACATTAGGACGAAGAAGAAGATGAGGAGGCGAATAAACGGATAGGATGATAAGAAACAGAAAACGGGGGAAGAATAAATAAAACACATAAGAAAATTCAAGCAAGCACATAAAAGTATGCAATATTTTGTTTAAACACAATTTTTTAATTAATTTCTTATATATAACATAATTACGTACATAAACACACACACACACACACACACGTATATATAGCGCTATATATATATATACAAATATATATATGTATACATGATAGACAAATCCCAATCCGGTTCCAAGGTTTAGTAAAAATAAAGAAAAAGATTAAACAACAAAAAAAAAAGCAAACAATTTTTGATATGAAATCCTACGCATAATTACGAAACTTTTATTGTTTATAAGATAACAACTTAAATACAAAAAGAATTCATAATAAATCAAAACAGACTGACGGACGGACCCTGACAGCATGCCCCCAAGCCCCAGCCCCAGCCCCCCCTCACAACCAGGCAACAAAATTATGCGAAAAATTGAAGGAAAAGACAAAACAAACGGCAACTTTTTGGTTGAAACCTAAACATATGCAATATATGTATAACTGACTGACTTTACAAAGACGTTACACACACACACACACACACACACACACATGCTTACATTACATAAATTAGTTAAAGTTAGTGAATAAAGAAAAACAAACAACAAAAATAAACACATTGGATAGTAGGTGATAATTGGTGTGTCTTAACTACAAACCCCCCCCAAACCCCCCTTTGCCCCTGCCCACGCTTATGCCCCTTCCCCCTATCCCTGCTGCTACACCGTCATTTTGTACTAAATTTAAAGTTTAAACAAAATATAATGCAGCAGGCAGGCATAACTATTAATTACCATTAATTATACGCGAGTAACAAGGAAAATTATGATTAAAATGTATACACAACAAACAACAAACAAAAACAAAAACAAACAAAACTCAACAAAAAAACCAATAAACTACATTTTGCAATTCCACAAAAACAGAAGAAACAAAAAACACAAAAACCTAAAGCGAAGAGATAATTTTTGCCCAAAGATTCCGTTTTGACATCTACACCCGCGCAGCAAAAGCTTACACTAGCCAACATACAACTGGGACAGGGACAACAAATTTGTACTGCAGTACAGCAAAACTCTGTTGGGGTTCTCTTTCGTTGCATTCAATCGATTGGACGTCATTTCAGTTCGACATTTTTGGCCTTAGCAAATAAAAAGAAAACAAAACAAAAATATAAATAAAATGAATAATAAAACAAATTGGATGAAACTAAGAATACTTTATATATATACAACCCACATATACATTATAGAGAATACGGATCTAGTTTTAGTTTATACAAAGCAAGGGAGCAGCTTTCAAACTTGAAATAAAACAAAACAAAAAAAAAAACAAATTAAAAACAAAAACAAAAACCAATTCCCAACCAACCAAAACTTTGTTAAAAACTACCCCTCTAAAAAACAATGGAATAAATACAGAAAACAATAGCAAGAAAGGATGCTATTAAATCTATTAAATCTATTATACAGTGACGTTGAGTTGGCTAGAGTGGAGGACGCGGCAACAAAGTGTATCTATATATGATATATATATACAAGAAACACACATATATACATATATATATATAGATATATCTACTGTTAACTTTTTACGCTAAGTTTTTAGTGAAAGAAATGGTTAAATTTTTAAAAAATAAAACTGAAAATGAAAAAACTGAGAGCTCGACAGGTGTAAAATGAGTAAATTACATTTAAATTTAGCACATATAAACGGCATAATTATTATGTTACGATATTTACATTTATATAGAAGAAAGAAACAAACAACAAAAAACCAAACCCGGAACTCCCCTCTGAATAAAAAATATGACAAAGCAGAACAACTGAAAACGATACGAGCGGCAGGCAGTCGTCGGTGTCCCAAGAAAATAGCAAAACAGAAACAGAAATCAAGCGAAGGTAATAAGAATTCATTAAGTATACAAGAACCTCTCTACATATATGAAAGAATGGCAAATTATACATATATGATATATGATTAAGTAGCTCTATTCCGACTGTTGCACATACACAGACACAGAACACACACATTCTCACACTCTGAGATACTCGTATGCTAATGAGGGTCTCTGGCCGCTGCCCATGACAGATACACACACACACACACACACAAAACATTCTCTAAAAGGTGTACAGAAAAGCAATATAAACACAGTGAAGGGATATAGCCACAGTGCGGATCGACCAGACTGATCCATGAAGCTGAGACCAGGCCTCACAGGGAATATGTTCAGTTCTTTCAATTTAAAGACTTAACTTTGCTTAACTTTGTGCTACAATTGGTTGCATCAACTGTGTACCCTGTCCGTGACTGCACAACGTGGCGTATGCGCAACTGCTTTGTGCCCCCTCAGCCACAGTCACTCGACCTTTCTGGATGCCCCTGCCAGACCATCACACGGAGCAGGAAAAAATTTGTTATTTGTATTTCAACGAGCAGGGCTCGAAGCATGTTTAATTTCAAGCAATTCTATTGCGTTTTTTAATGCCCGAACACGAACATAAATAAATCGGATAACTTTAGACCGATCCAATACAATATTTACGCCGAACATTCGTAAACAAATCCCTAATGAGCGGGTGGGGGGGCGGAAGGAAGGGGGTGGAGAGTGGCAGACGAGTGGATGTTGCATAAAACAATAATAAGACGAAGATGAATCATGAATCAAAGTACCCGGACACCCCACACCCACACCCACACACATACGAACACAATTGCATTCGAAAGAGAAACAAAAAGGAATCGTTTTTTATATGAAAATTCACACACACACACACACACACTCACACACATGCATACGGATGTAGTTTTAGTTCATTAGGCGAATTCGTTTTTATATATTTGTAAATTGTTTCTAGGTAAATCTAATTATATACATACATAAATGTAACACGCATGTAGATACATGTATGTACGATCCAGTTTATATATAAATTATGTCATACTGCATTATGGTCATTATTATGATTGAAACAGAAACCAGAAATGGGCGAGCATTGAGTGGATAAGCCGCAGCAGAGCAGGCGGCAAAAATGTTGCGAAAATCCGCTTGAGAAAGACATGCAGAAGCAGAAGAAGCAGTAGCTGCGGGAAAGCAGAAGTAATTCAATTCATTCTTAACAATAAAATGTAATCTGAATTATACAAAACCAAAACAAAACAAAAAACAAAAGAAAACCAAATGAGAAAACAAAAAAGAAAATCATAAAGAAAAAAAAAACATTTTGCACATTTTTACTTGGCGGGTTGAGTGGCGAAGCTGTAGTTTGATTGCCTTTATTATTCTCATTGTTCAATTATAATTAAAAATTGCATTAAATGGTCAACAGCATTGTTCAATGTTTGATTTCCCCCCCACCATTTATAATCCCACGTCCAATGGCAAACCAATTAATTCCAATGGGAAATGCACACTCCGCCCAGCAGCAACAGGAAGCGCCAGCGCTGGACTCTCTCCAGCGGAAGCACAAGCTTAGCGAGTGATCTGTAATAATGGGAGTATTTACTAGGGAATCTGATCAATGAACCTACGTTTACAGGTGAGTAAGCCAGAAGGAAGATTCATCGAATTTAAAGCCTGCCCCAATTCATGCCAAACTCTAGCCGTGAAACCTGTCCACGTCTTTCGTGGGAGTGCCAGCTGATGCCTGCCCAAGGCCAATATGTCTCCAAATGGCAATACAATTCACAACTTTTTGCTTTTTTGTGTGTTTTGGAGCTTCATTTCTGGCAAGTTCAGCAAACTTTTGTGCCTAGCCAAACAACGACAATCGTCCGACTTGTATTTAATGGCCATAAATTAAGACAACCCATCCAGCAGCCCAGCAGCCCGGCAGTCTCAGTGGCCATAAAAACGTGCCACTCGCCAGCAGTCGACACAGAGACAGAGAGAGAGAGGGAGAGGGAGAGAATCTTGTATGAGAATGTTAGTGTTGTTCAATAGGCAACAACAGCAACGACACCTGCGTGTCCCGTTAAACGCAAATCCATGTTCGGGGCAAACTAAAACTTTGCCGCACTTGCCAATAGAGAGTAGATTTATGGTTACATGTACGTATGTACATGTGGCAAGGTCACTCTCGATGAAGTCAGCAAAGAAAATAGTTTTCGTAGCGAGCAGTTTCTGGCACTTTATTCCTTAAACCTTTAACATTTATTGATGCTGAAGCTGGATGCGATAGCTGAGCAGGAGATTTATAAAGAAGTTATATTTTAATGGCCAAATGGAACGTCGAGTTTGTCTACAAATCCCTTTTATATATATATATTTATGGGTTTCCACTTTCATTGTACAAAATTCTTAAAATTTTTAATCAAAGCCACGCGTAATCAAGGATTTTGTATAGCGATTGGCTCGGCTGACTGCCCAACGGGGCACCGAGGATGAACTCCTCAGTTGGTTCATCAATTATGCACAAAGATGAAGCGGGGAAACTCTGCCCCAGCTCGAATATGCATAATACATGAAATTTTCAATTTGTTTTTTTATTTTTATTTTTTGTGTGTGTTTTTTTTATCCATTTTCCGAGTTGTTTTTTTTTTGTGGATTGGTTTGGCTTTGCAATTTTAACGCGCTTCCGTCAATTAAATTCACGAGGCGTAACTGGCAAACTGGAAAATTGTGTCACACACAGAAACCCACCTCCACCTCCACATCCTCACACAATGAGAGTTTATGGCCATGGGGGTGGGTGGTGCAGTGGGGCGTACATATGGTGATGCACATGAATGTTGCACATTGCCTATGCGGTGCTGCTGCTGCGGCGAGCGGCTTGTTGTTCGATGATCGACATAGTTAAGTGAAAACTGATTGCAGAAGGAAGTGGCGGGAGACGGGCGTCAGGGAAACAACAGGGAAACCCGTGATGTATCGATTTCCGGGGCTTATAGTTGGATAATCCCTGCCCGAACGGGCCGAAGTGAAAGGCGGCCCGCCCGGGTTAACAACATGTTAAGCAAAGTTTGGGCCTTTTGGTTTGCTTTTGCCGTTGGCCATCCTCCAATATTAATCTGTGGGCAAAGTTTTCTTTTTCCCCGCTGGCCTTGTGCCAGTTTTCTGTTTTGACTCCACTCAATCGTTAAAATCACCAAAAACACACACACACACACACACACACACACACACATACGCAAATATTGATGCAGCATTTCTGATGGAAAGGCTTTCGTTCGATTGCACCGCTCGAGTCAGCTTGGCCCCAACCGGACTAGGATTTGCTTTGATTTGATTGTTGCCACCATTCACTGCAATGTGGTGCTAATGACCCGACACCAGCCGCGGGCCGCAATTCATTTTGTCACGCAAAACTGGTCATATTTCATTTATTTTTATTTTATGATTATATCATCAAAAAAATGAAATCTGCTAATTGTCAAAAAGTGCGCCGCAGTGATGCAGAAAGCCAATAAAGTGGAATAACTGAAAGTAAAAGAAATTGTTATAGTCCAAGTTATATCATTTGTCTGTCAAGCGGGAAAACTTGCTGGATGAGCCACAGACAGAGCCAGAGCCAGAGACAATGACCAAGTGGCGTGCCGATCTGGATTTGCCATTGTTATGCAACATCAGCAAAACCAGTTGATTAGGCTAGCCGAAATGGCCGAAATGGCTGCAATGGCTAAAATGCTGCGCTTCCTGCATTACTCTCATTTCGCTACCCAGCGGCAAGAATGGCCAATCAAATGAATTGCCATCGTGTTGTTGCACATTTAAATTGCAATCTTTGTGCAGTCGCAGGGCCGTTGTGCAGTTCACATGACGACATATTTCAGCGCACAACTCAATTTACGACACAAACATCCAAATCCGCATCCAAATGGAAGCTAACCACTAACCAGGAAGCTAAACAAATCCTTGATGCCACTAGCAGCGGCATTTGAAACTGCAACATGGGCCCGCACTTCCCCTACCCTTCAGCGCACTGTTGCCATTGCCACTGTGTTGGCCACCGGCTGGCAGGCAGACCGACATAATCGCTGCGTTTAACTCAGGCAAAAGCTTCAATTACACTTATCTCCCTCTCTCTCTATCTCTCTCTCTCTCTTACCCTCACACTATTTTTCACTGTTTGTCCTCTCTCTTTGACTTCATGTTTGGTGGCTTTTTGACAGCGAGAGTGAGAGAGAGACAGAGACTTGTGGCTTTGAGCTTGAGTGCTTGCTTTTGATGTTACTTTGGGGTTTTCTTTTCGGTTTTTCGGTTATTTGCGGTGAGTTTCAACTATCATATCGTGTCAGGGTGGCAGAGCACCCTACTGCCAGACGGCCTTACGGCATTGTAAGCTTTGTTAAAGAGTTCCGAGTATAAAATCAACCTAGAAAACTTTTGTGTTAATAAACATTTCCCCCCCCCTTGAGCTCAGGTGAAGCACGTGCATTACATTTTCATTTTCATTTTCATTTTATTATTTATTTTCTTTTCTTTTTGCTCCTTTGGGATTCGTTGTGAGACAGCAGGCAGGCAGCGAGGAATCTGCTGTAGTCGGTGCGAGCCGCAGCCACTGGGCATCGTTGAAGCCGCAAGTCTGGACTTGGACCTGCTGCTTGTCGCACTCGACTTGGACAAGGCACCGCCGCTGCTTCCGACCGATCCGCCCCCTCTGTTGGCAAACTTTGACTTGATTGTGTTTTTGTTTTCCACCGTGTTTCCACTCCGGCAACTTTGTGTCACTCCATTCTCCTCCATTGTTGCCACTGCTGCTGTTGGCCCGCTCTAGCGCTCGGTGTGGCGCATTTCCAGTTGTGGCACGTCTCACTGTAGCAGCAGCAGCTCATAATTTTTTTCTCCTCGTTTTTTGCTTCATATTTAAGCGAATGCAGGCGGCAGGTCCCAGAGCAATTTCGTTTCTACACGCGCCGTCGATGGTTGACCAAAATCCGCACTTGTAATCCCAATCGAACAACCAATTCGCGAATTACAATGCATTTGCCCCAAGGAGTAAGTGTTTAATTACTCACACTCACTCTGCCTCGGCTGGACAACGAACGAAAGTCAGAAGCAAATAAAAATCAGTGCACAAAAACACAGACTGTCCGCCAAATTGAATTAAACCTTAGAAAGTCCACACAAAACTCGGCAGAAAATACGAGAATAAAAAGCGTTTATTGTGCAACAAAATTTGTCTGCAATCGCGCGTGAAATGAAATATGAACGCAAACTAAACCACAAATAAAAAAACATAATTGGTGTTTCATGATTGGCCAATGGCTGGAACATGAGAAGAATTCTCGCTTGGCCCATAAACAGTTAATTCAAGCAAATTGTGCAACAAAGGGAAAGTCATTTTAGCACCAAGAGTCGGAGTCGGGTGCAGGTGTATGACTGAATGAACTCAACAAAAAGCACTTTCATTATGTAAAATAAAAACGAGAAAACAGTTATTTAATTTAATTTAAAATTTAAAGAGCAGCAAAATGTATTCACAATTTATCGTAGGCAAATCTTTGCGTGAATTTAAATAGTTTCAAAAGTCTTCAAATTGCAATAAAAAATTGTTTTCTTTTGCAAAAAACAATCCAACCTCATCAAGAGGCTCATTTTAAAATAAAAGGAGACTCCCAAAGACAATCATTTGGCTTTTTGCCAGCTCAACTCCAAACTGAAACTCAAATTTAAGGGACAGCCATTGTCATTGTCTTAGCCATTCGAGATATTTGATTATCCCAGCGTAGAGCCCTCAAATGGCTTTCTAATTCCGCCTTGACCACCTCTCCCCATTGTCATTGTCGTGCTGCTGGCGACAGCTTCTGTCACGCCCCCCATCAAAAGCAGTTGCCAGCTGAAGGCAGATGAGGCAGCATCCCATCAGCACTGGAACTGCCAGACAATAATGTATTTGGGAGGGAGTTTGGTTCCTATTTTATCGCCCTGTTCCTGGCTGGCGCAACCTCTAATGCACTGGACCGTATCGTAATCCTTGTACTCGTTTCCTTTTCAGGCGCTGAGCTTTCTGCTTATCACTTGCGTGATGTTCACGCTGGCTGGCGGCCATCCATCAAGCGACAAACTGAAGTAAGACGCCACGCCTTTAACGACACATGAAGCAACTCAACCCCCCCCCTTCCATTACAGGATCCGCATACACGTGCCAGTGAAGCACCACACACATGTCCACACGAAGACGGTCATTAAGAAGGTCCCGCTGCCCATTCCGG